AAAATGGTTTGGCAGGTAAACATGCTTGTTGCCAAGTCTGATGACCTGGGTTTGATCCCTGGGGCCTAAATGGTAGAAGAAAACCGATTTCCACAAACTGTCATCTGACCTTCATACCTACACTGTCACACATGCCACCCAATGAAAGGAGTGAACTTTTTTCTTTTTAAAAAACACATTTCCTTCATTCTACTTTCTTGTCTTCACTTTATTTTCACCAAGCAGGCGATGCACATGTTTGAATACCCTGTCCCCGTCTGTCCCAGCTGTGCCATTCCCACATAGTGCTCACTCAACTATACACCATTTCTGGTTTTGTCTTCCCAATAGAAACTGTAAGATTCCAGTGTTCATGTGACCAGCCAATGAGCAGTTGAGTCTCAAGCTACCTCAGCCCAAGCCAGAGACACTGGCCTCGTGGAGTGTACAGCACACTGTGTTCTTTCTTGGTGAGAGGTCTTTGTATTCTTGTCTCCTCTGTTTGAAATGTGTCTCTTTGTTTGACTAAACTGGTTCACTCCCTGCCCCCTGCTCTTGTCATTGCTAGATAACTCTATTTGTCAGATTTTAACTTTCTTAAAAAAAAAAAAATTACTATTGGGAGAAGCACATGTCTTTTCCAGCACAAGTATGGGGGCTCAGAGGACAGCTTTGCAGAATTGGTTCTTCCCTTCTATCTTCTGGGTTGTGGGGAACAGTATTAGAAAACTATGCAATCTATCTTTTTTTTCTTTTTCTTTTTATTGTTTTTGCAATCTATTTTTCATAATCTGTTTTAAAAGTTGTCCTCTTTGGGGACCTGGCCACCTCAGAAAACTGCAGGGTATCCCCTAGCCAGCAGTACCTGACTTAGGTATTATTTTCAGACACTGTGACAGTTATTGCAACCCTAAACTTTGTAAAGAACACAGGCACTTGAGTATCACCTGAGAGAACCACTACTTCCTGAATATGCTCTCTAGATTTTGTCCTCAGTGCTGATTAACGGGCCTTCCTGCATACATGCCGTGGAGTGCTACAAATGTGTATAGGACAAACGCGGTGACTACATTTCATTTTATTTTTTGAGACAGAGTTTCACTGTTTTAGACTGGTCTCAAATCCATGGGCTCAAGCAATCCTTCTGTCTAAGCATTCAGGGTAGTTGATCCTACAGAGCTGCCAGTACACCTGACCTTGACTTTACATTTCATTTACTATTAAATAATCTTAACTTGAGCAGCAGAGTGTGATTATTAGACTGTATAATTCTACACGTTGTCATTCAGTGCTACAAGGTGATTGAGCCTCACTGGCCAAAGGATGTTCTGCATAGTGAGAGACCGAGGGAAAAAGGGCAGAGCAATAAGATCACTTTGTTCCCTATGTGCAAAGAGCATTATGCCTTAGACATCTACAAGAAAAGGAAAACTTTTGCTTGGAGTAACACTGAATAAATGACTCAATGGTTTGAATTTCTTTTAAAAATTGGCATATATCTTTCTCTTACAGAGACAATGAAAATATAGAGAATAACTAAATTTAGGTTTTAGAGGTATTTTCATTTTATTTAATTTATGTTAATTTATGGCAATTTTAAAAATGCTTCATAATGAAGGCTGCTTTTAAGTACGTTGCTTTTATTTAGTCTCTAACAACATAAACCTTTGATCAGTTCAGCTCAAGAAAAGGAAGACTTAACAGCACACTGCAGTCTGAGCTGTTTTTTCCAGAATAATAAAAGCCTCATGAAACTCTTTACCAAGAATTGTCATTTTAAATTCTTAGCAGGTCTGTCATTTAAATCGGGTACTATGCAATTTTCTATCACCTATATAGAGAAAGCCACTCTCCTGCCTTGTGCTCTGCCTGGCTCCAGCTTTTATCTCCTTTTCCAGTGCTCTCCTAAGCTGCTGCTTCTCTCTCTAAAAAAAAAAAGAAAAAAATGCCCAATTCACTTTAAAGATTAAAGATGCCTTTTTTTTTTTTTTTTAAATAAAGATTATCTAGAGTTTGCAGAGAAACCCACCCGGGCGTTATAAACAATGCTGCTGAGGGTCTTTCCTGATGAATAAACACAGGTTATTTTTAGAGGTGTCAGGCTGGCCTGTCAGCAATCAGATCACTGATGGCAATACTCAGTGGTTTTGGGAAAGGACTGAGATTAATAACAGAAAATAAGGGAGGGCAGAGGTGCTGGTAGGAAGGAAGGATGCATGCTACCCCTTTCTTTCAATAATTCCACTTCTTTTTTCTTTTTTAGATTTGCTCCAAATTCAGAGCCAATATTAAGATTGAAGTGATAAAATACAAATTTTTGTCTAGTTTGTTACACTAGACGTGAGAACGTCAGAACACTTCCATAGAAAGAAAACTGCTCTTGTTTTATTTACACTGTACACCTATGCTTTCATTTTTTCCTGTAATGAACTTTAAAGACATTTAAAGAAAGCTTTAAAGACATTACAAATCATTGGCTTTCTTAGATAGCATTCCACACATGGATTGTATTTTTATTAACAATACTGACTTGAGGTTATTCTATTCATGGCTCATGTATATTCTTCAATGCTTCTGATGACTTTGGGAGTCCATAGAGGGACATAACAAGATGCTATGTGCCTTACTGAATCTAACACACCACTGTCAACATCACTAGCAGAGCTGTTCAATATGTCAAGAGTTAACAGGGTATGTGATTATGATAATCATCACTTTGCTTATATGCTCTAATCCATTACAGCAGACTTATGACAAAGTGAAACCATTTTAAATCAGTAAATAGGAACTAATGAAAGGTTAATATAGTGCTGGTAAGCAGGAAAGATCGAACGTAGTTTGTTGCTAAGACTGAATGTAAACCACACATGCTTAGAGCAAAGAGCTCAAGGAATAAAGTCTGTAGCAGGTTTACTACATGAAAAACATCACCCAAGCACTACAGAACCAATGCATGTTTTATGCTTAAGCATGTTTTATACTTAATCATGGAACAAAAACACTTTTGTTTAATGATGACACAGCTAACTGACAGGTACAGATTTATATGCTAAAACCTATTATTTATGAAGCATTATGATTTGGAATATTTGAGAATATTAGCTTTTAGTATAAGTACTTAGCACAGTTAAAACTTTACTTATGATTTGATACAGGGTCTCACCATGTAGCCTCGGCTGGCTTGAACTCTGAGATCTGCCTGCCTTTGCCTCCAGAGTACAGGCATTAACAAGAGTTGCCCACAACCATGCCTGGTGGTAAAACTTTAAAAGTAACTGAAAACACGTACATATATTCTCACAATCAAAACATTTGTTTTAAATGTGTGTGTGTACATGAGCACTATGTTCCTAGCTCCACGTAAAAAAAGATTACATTAATTTAGTGTAAGTATTTACACGTCTCAAAGCTCTAGTGTGGAGGTCAGAGGTCACACATACCTTTATCTGCTGAGGCATTTTGGTGGCCCCACATTGCATTTGTGAACTAAACACTCTCCTAACTATATTTAGTCTTATACAACAGTTGTAAGTTTGGGAAATTAAATATTAAAACAAATTAGTCAAAACAAGCAACTTTGGAATTCCCTTTGTACACTACTTATCTGTACAATGACTAAAATAATGAAAGCAAACTTCTGAGAAGTCAATAATTATGTCGTCTTCCTTTGATTTCTAATGGAAATCATAGATGGAGAGACTTCTTAGAGACATGCTCATTGCCTGCCTCTACGAAGAGGAAATGTTTCCTGTGTATGGCGTCCCGTGGCACAGATGCCACGCACGTGCATTATTTTGTTCCTGAATGATGAATTTGCTTTTCATGCACTTCAATAATAACTGCAACACAAATTCATGTTTCTTTAAGGAGCTTAAAGCTTATTAGTATTGTTTACTCAATGCTCACAGCTTCTGTACATGGTAGACAATACTGAGTACGCAAATAAGGTAGAGTTCCAGAATCTCAGCTCTGGTCACATCGACTTTCTGAAGTTACACGAGTGGGGTGGCTTAACCAGTAAGGGTTCTTGCTGCCAAACCACATGACCCACACGGTGGAAGCAAAGAACTGACTCCAGCAAGTCATACGCTGTGGCAGGCAAGCGCCTCCTACTAAATAAGTAATATAATTTTTAAAAGTTACTATAGTCAGATAATATTGCAAGTTGATGTATAAAGCAGGACATCTGACATAGTTCTGGCTCAATATCATAACCATAAAAGACTCATAAACTCAGTTAATTATCTGTCAATTAACCTGGGTTCATACTGAAGTTAGTGTTTTCTTACAGTCAATTAGAAGATAGATATTATGGACTTGACTGTATTTTGATTTTGCCAACAATAACCACATGGAATTTTGAGTCTTGAAAAGACTGTCCTTCTATTAGGAAAACAGAATCGAGACCAGAAAATTAAGGCCAACTGTCAATATTTTCTTCACACAAAAAACATGTCCTATGTTATTTTTTAAAAAGATGAGAGGGAGACAAGATTTAAACAGGAAGCTCATAAGCAGGATTTAAATTAATCAGTCCCTAACAACTGTTAAGTACAACCTTTGGAAATTAATTTGCATAATGATAATCTACATATGATAGGGTTGAACTTATTTAAGTGACATGATAGCTCCCTATTCCGTCTTGCCCCACTACTGCTTCAGCACTGAATTCTTATGAAATGTAATGCAGCTAATGAGGTAGCTTTTTAACTGAACAAACTGACAGGCCCCATATCTGCAGAGGCAGCTTGAAACTGTGCCCAACCTCTTGGCTTCCCAAGAGGCTTTTCAAAATTCAATAAATAACATCTGTAGGCGATGTTGGGTGCAGACCTAGCAGAGTGCGTCATAACACTGTGCTGGCAGAACAAAGAAACCATGACGACTGCCAAGTTTCCATGGCAACTGCAGCGAGGCTCTGAGAGTATAATAGCACATCAATCACTGTCCAAAAGAACTTCATTATCAGATAGAAAAAAACCTTTAGGATCTGTTTAGTGTGCAATTGTGAGTTAACTCACCTCAAAGCCTTGCTCTCTAGCAAAAGTGGCAGCTTCCTGGAAAAAAAAAAAAAGAACAGTTAATTATAAAGTGCTAGATAATGAAGAAACAATTCATTTTGAAACCCATTCAGTGTTCTTTCTACACAATTATCAATATACTCACATAGATTAATTTTTATTTTTACCCTAAAAATATTTCCTTTTTGTCTTGGTATTAAAAACAATGGGTCACACAGTGTCAACACACTTCACGAGCTGGAACACAGAAGATGCAGTATGTGTTTTTACAGCTGCTGTCACAGTGAGTTCAGGTGTTCTGACCTCACTCAGCAAAGAAAGACGTTCACTTGAAACCCAAGGACTATGCTGGTGGCTACATTTCTAATTAAAACAGTGCCTCTCAGAAAGCTCTTCTGGAGAAAAGAACGCCTGCCACTAGATGTGCAGACACTGGAAAAAAATATTTTGCAATCCCATGATGAAATTTATAGACAGGATCAGGAGTGTTGTTAAAGTCACTGGGTGAAAGGATGACAGGGAACCGGTTCTTCGCATGGAGTCAAAGCAGCACAGCTTACGCACTGGTCACAGGGAGCAAAGTGTAACTTTATAATGGAAGGGATCAAGCTGTCATCATTTTAACCCTGTGATCAGTCCTATCACTTGTAGTGGGATCACCAAACATTCTGAGCCTCTGTTACGATGCAGAATGGAGGCCACATTTTCAACCAGGAAGTATTCTGCCCACATATCTTAACACCAATTAGTTTCAAAACTAAATCAAAACTTTAGTCCAGGAACTTGTATTCACAAGAAAAAGAGAGGAACAAACTAAAGGAGACAGTGATAATGATGCTGAGCAAGTCTGAAGGTTGGGACTCATTTATAGGGCAACTAGTTTTGTGTCTTTAACTAAAGGTAACTTCAAAGATAAAGTGGGGAGGGGAAACGAACAAAACCAATGCATGGACCTTAACTGGATCTTATTTTAAACAAAACAGCTGTGAAAGGCACTTGAACAAATGTAATTTGAGAATCAGAAAATGTGAGGAATCATCAGTTTTATATTAGGAATAATTACTGTGATAAGTCTTTAACCTTTAAGGTTGTACCCACTAGTATTTAAGGATGAAATGTCACAAAATTTGTAACTGGGAATACCCAGGAGGCAGGGGAACAAAAGGAAAAAATTTTGACAAAATATTGATGACTATGAAATCTAGGTACATAATATGTGGATTGAATAATTCTATCTATATACCCTCCCCCCAATCCTGCTTTAAGACAAGGTCTTGCTATATCCCTGGCTGGCCAAGGACTGCTATGCAAGCAAGACTAGCCTCAAACTCACACAGGTCCACCAGGCCAAGGACTGCTACACAAGCAAGACTAGCCTCAGACTCATACAGGTCCACCAGTTTCTGCCTCCTAAGTGCTGAGATTAAAGGTTTGGGCCACCATGCCTAGTTTTTGACTAAGAGGAAAAGGCTAACAAAAGTTAACACTTAAAAATAAGCTGCGTGCAATGGTGCTTGCCTGTGATCCCAGCACTTGGGGAGACAGAGGCAACAGATCTCTGTGAGTTCCAGGCCAGTTTGGTCTACAGAATGAGTCCAGGACAGCCAGGGCTACACAGAGAAACCCTTTCTCTAAAAACAAACCAACAAACAAACTTAAAAATTTTAATACACAAAGGTCTTCTAGCCTTTAAATAGTTTCTGAGCACAATTTAATAAACATTATGATATACTCTAATGCTCTTCTAACAGACTACTGAAAGACAAAACAAAACAAACCACCCCAAACCAAAAACATACATACATCTATGTAACTAAATCCTTACACTTTTACTGTTTATCTTGTGCATACGTTTTAATTTTAGGAATGATAAAAAGTGGAGGCAATGTTACTTTTCATTTTTACTTCCCTCTTGAAAGTGAAAAAAACTGCAGACAACTGTCAAGAGTCTCTACATCTTAACTTACATTCCTCCAAAATTATCTTTGCCAAGAGATATTAATAGAAGGATAGGATTTGAGTCCAAGTAGTGAGCAGATCCAACTCAACTAGAACGACTGCTGCATCAAACCATGTAAGGCAGTAACTACAGTCAGTGCCTTTAAAATAAATGTGGGTAGTCCCTCCATGTTGAGGGAAACACTAATGAAGAAATATATGCATGTACTTACAGCCCACTATATTAATAACAGAGATTTCAAAAACACACACTTTTGAGGGTGTGCAAAGGTCAGTTAACAGGAAATCTTAAGCTGAATGTTCAATTCTTTACATCATTCACTAGAGGAACATCAGGTCAACCAATGAGCCACAGCCGATGACTCCACACACACACAACACATACCCCTGACAACTGGTTCAAGCAAGCAAGGTTACCACCTTTCCAATTTACTTATAAAAGAACATTTATAATTCACATAGTTAATAATATTTTCTGGCTGAGATATCAAGGCAAATGATAAGGTTCAAACAATATCAATGTATTGTTTTCTAAGCTGTCACAATTAACTACATGAATTCTTAGCTGAATAATGCAACTGAATAGCTCTGGTGAGAACTACTACTACACTTATTATTATTATTATTTTAGATTTATTTGTTTTATGTATACGAGTATTTGGCCTGCATGTATGTTTGTGTACCATGTGCATGGCTGGTGCCAGGTGTGGGCAGCAGACCCCCGGAACAGGAGTTATCAATGGTTGTGAGCTATTGTGAGGGTGCTAGGAAGCAAACACAGGGATCCTTTACAGGAGCAGCAAATACTCTGAACCAGTGAGCCATCTTCCCAGCCCCTAAGAACTACTTTTCAAGCCCAGCCTGGGGGATAATGAGTTCTAGGACAGAGGTGGAGATTCAGGGTAACTAAAAGATAAGGAATCTGTATGATTAAAGTTGCACTATGACAGAAAGACTGAAAGTCCATATGTAGTAGTTAAACTGAGGGAAGGAGCAGTGCTGAGGATTGAGATCCTGGCCTCAAGTTGCTAGATGAACTTCAAGTTAAGCCCCAAGTCAACTGTACTATTTGTATAGAGTAGGCTCCTTAGGTAGCCCAGGCTAGATTTGAACTCTTTAATCTCCCTGTCTTTGAGTGCTGGGATTATAGATCTGTGTCATCATGTTTGGCTATATTATTATTATTTTTTTAATGCCAGCTTTGTTCTTATACTAATCTATTAACTGTAATGTGGTATATTAAAAATTAATGGCAAGAATAAATAAAAAATACTTACACGAGTATTTTTTCTCTTTTAGACAGGGGCTCACTATGTAACCTAAGTTGGCCTGAATCTTAGTATATAAGATTTGGCTTTGAACTGTCTCTCTTCCTGCTTCCATCTCTCAAGTGCTAGGATTTTAGGCTTGTGCCATCATGCTTGGCTTCAAATCATTATCTTATATGGAAGGTATGCCTTAGGACATTTTCACATATGTAAACAGTTTCAAGCACCAATACATTTCTGGCTTAGGATGGACATACTTAAGAAAAGCCAACACAATTTCTATCTCTCCAAACACGGGTTTGCTGAGCTGGTCCCTATCACCAGAAGAGCCAAGTCCTTATTCTATGCCTTAAAATGATCTTATTTTTACTAGCTTCCTCTCACCTTCCTTTGATCTTGGCCTGGTGCCTCAAGTCACAGCACACCAGAAGGCAGCTGCCTCACACCACTGCTGACTCTGTCACCACTAACCTCTGAGCTGAAGGCGTTTGTAGATACAATGATAGAACAGCATTCATTTTTTCCTCTTAGCAAAACAAACAAAACAACAGAGGGGAACAGTTTGACCCAACAAGAATTTTAAGCAGAATTTTTGCTCTCAGATTCACTGCATGAGAGAGCAGAAAGAAAAGGTATTAGGTCAGAAAACAAGGAAGAAAGAGAGAGCATAGATGGTGGGTAGAAAAGTACGGCAGGTTCCAAATATCAGGAGTAATTCCAAGTGAACTGATCACGCTAAATTGAAAAGGACTTGTTAGTGTGCCATTGCGGCAAAAGTGAGAAAAGAAAACAAGCAAGCCCCCATCTGTGCTGCCCCAGGGCGCCTTGTACTGAGTTTCACAGATCTAATGAAGCAGTCAGGTTAAAATCCAAGCACGGAGTGGCTGCGACATGTGGGGAACAGCTAGAGCTAGACTAGAGAGGCAGGGCGGTTCCTAATGCAGGTGATTATCCATGTGATGATCACTGTATTTACAGGCCTTCCATTTCAGATCTGACACAGAAACCACAAAGGGGGAGGGATTAAGGAGATAAACAACTGACATGGAGGCTCCCGCTCCCCTGAGAGTAGAGCACTTCCATTCATGCATGGCAGCCCAAACTAAACTGGCCTGGGAAGACTATTTCTGATCAGCCTGCACTTCACACTGACACTTTTTTCTATTTTGATAACTTCCACCATTATGCTGTTTCAGAGACAGGTCACATTTTCAGAATCCTCCCATTGTTGGATATGCTATAATACAGCGTCATTTTTCCTTTACAATGAATGAAACTCATATTATACGTCTTTTGCAATAACAGTCATTTTTCCCTTCTGGGAATGAGTGTTGTCAATAAAATGATACATAATTAAAGTCTTATTCTTGTCTATACCACACCACTTAGGAGCCACAGTAGGCCAGCTGCTTTACCACCCAGGCTAAAAGTGTGCTGAACAAACAACACCAGATACAGATTTTAAAATGAGGTTTAAAAAGCATAGCTAAGGGCTGGAGAGATGGTTCAGTGGTTAAGAACACTGGCTTCTCTTCCAGAGGACCCAGGTTCAATTCCCAGCACCACATGGAAGCCCATACCTGTCTGTAACTCCTGTTCCAGAGGATCTGACACCCTCATACAGACATATGTACAATCAAAACACCAATATACATAAGAATATGAATAAACAATTTTAAAAAGCATAGCTAAAATTAATAGTTAATGAAAATGTGGAATGCTTACATTAAGGGCTTTTAAAAGCAAATAGCAAGCCATTATTAAAAAAAAAAAAAAAAGTACAGCCCTAGGCCAAGCACGGTGGCACAC